TAGTTGTTGCTATTATTTGTTTCTATTTTTAATTATGGTTATTTTTGTTTTTAATTGTGCAGCACTTTACAGTAGTGTAGATCTATAAAACCAAGTTAATTCTTTAATAACTATTCATAACTACTAAAAAAATAAGTCGCGGAGTGTATCACTGTTTCCAATCCCGTATACGTAGTCTCTAATATCTATGGTTACACTGTCTGTACACTGTGATTTGTTTGTGCATTGTTGGAATAAAGAGTTATACCCATTTTATTGGATTTTTAATTGTACATTTGGTAAACACCTTTTAAAGAAACTGGTATCTCACACAGTTGATTTCTATGCATGACTATGTATGTATAGGCCTTTTGTATTGCTTGTATAATTTTTCAGATTTTTTCAACGCTCCTGTTAAGTTAGAAATGGACAAAACTCCAAGTGTCTAAGTGGGTGTGGTTTCATTGTAATTTGCTTTGAGGAAGTGTTATGTAGAGAACTTTGCAAAAGGTGTTCCAAACTCAAGAAATTTCATTCAGTGCCGGTCTACTTCATCTCTGGGTACATTTTAATCTTTTAGGTTATGTAATTGTGTTGTATTTCACCTTTGTAATTGTAGGTAGTATTGTGATAGGATGCTGGACACACTGCCGCTTCACTACACCTTCATTATTTGTTGGATTATTCTTTGTTTGTGGCCGATATTGATAATTCTAACTGATACAGTGTTTTTGATGCTATTGTTATACTGGTGGTATGAGTATTCTAGCCTATCTATGCATGTATTGGGCTCTACATTGTATGAAAATGCTGCTGAAAATTGATCTGTTTTTCAATTTATTCATAGGATACTATAAGAAATCTAACCAGTAAATACCTAGAAAATCAAAGAAATATTCAGATAATCTCATTTTACAATGAATTTTCTTGTTTTTTTATTGAATAAGAATAATCAATAGTAAATAGCTGCCGCCCACGCCATAGATACCGTACAGAAGGAAATTTTGGAGGGACTAAATTTTGGCGAATTGGTAAATTTTGGATGATTGACGAATTTTAATTTGGCGAATTTGTGGCCATGTGCCATTGAGCATGCGCATAATGGCTCAAAATGGCGAATTTTTATTTTGGCGAATGGCTATCAAAACGCCAAATTCGCCAAATTTAACTACCTCCAAAATTTCCTTCCATACGGTATAATACACGGAACAGGATTAGAACAGGATCACGTGAGCGCATTATACGTTGAAACACTCCTAGTTATGCCGGGAACTGGTCCCGTAATGGAGATGAATGGAGATACTTTGTGGGACTCTCCAGACAATATCTGATAGTTTTGTAACTAAATATCTGCTTCTATGGGTACTTCTTAACCTCTTACAGTGCACTGTGGTGTTTGTTATGGACTGCGTTTAATAGTTTT